TCCCTCTGTTCTATTTGTTTCATTTGGCTGTTCCCTTCCTCTCTTCTTTGCCTCTTTGCCTTTTGGCTGTGTGCAAGTGGGTCGATATGACACACGGGGTTGGGGGCAGCCGCCGCTCAACCTACATCCACGTGGGCGGCCTTGTACGCAAGAGGTTCTGAACAGGGGGAGTTTGTAAGGAAGAAGATTAAAAACGAATTTAAGATTTTTTTGTTTTTTTGGTTTTTTCGCTTAGGCGCTCTGATATCATGTGACAATATATAAATATACATATTGTCAAACAGAATATATGTATGTATATATATATCATCAAACAGAGCTGCCCGGTAAACCGTATCCCAGTTAGGCATTGATGGGATCCCCATCGATGGGATCGTCCTCCATCGAGCGACGCTTGTTCGCATCACCGTCAGTGAAGTACACAGAGCGCTCAGCAGAAGTTCCAAGAATAGTACAATATGCATATCGTCAAACAGCGCTTCCCTGTAAACCTCGGCAGAGAGGGAGGGAGAAGAGGACAGCAAACGAGGGGCTGTGACAAATTTGAAACTGTTTCGTCGGAGTTTCACCGACTCATCAGGAGGCTGAACCCTCAACAGTCCGCAGAATCCCCTAACTGATTACACTGTAAGTGACAATCCACCTTAACCCCGGTTCTGGTTAAGCGCATCAATGACTAACCGACATATATATTATGAAATATTATATTATATGTAATATATATAGCTGCCCGGTAAACCGTAGGCAGAGAGGGAGAAGAGGACAGAGAGGGAGAAGAGGACATATATATGTCACAGCCCCTCGTTTGTTGTTCTCTTCTCTCTCTCTGCCTACGGTTTACCGGGCAGTTCTGTTTGTGACGATATATATTTGTTTGACAATATATTAAATATAATATAATATTATATTATATAATATGAGGTATATTATATAATATGCCGTATATAGATAATATCTTTATTACGATATACGTATATAGTGTTATGTATGATTATGTTATTTGTATATAAATAGCGATGACGATTTATGTAGATATATGTAAAATAATGTCATGAATTATTATGTGAAATCGATGGTATGTCTGGCCTGGATCACGGGTAATTTTTTTTAGCTTTGTCCCGGTCTCGGCTTTGGTATGTATACCGGTTAAGTTTGTACGCGGATGAGAGAGAAGTTTTTTTTTTTCCCCCTCTTTTCTTTTTTGTTCTTTTTGAGGTCCTTGATACGATCAGAAGGTAGACCAGGTTAAGCGTTCGAGGTTTACTTCGACTGACATTACCCTGGATGTATCAGGCCTAGATCATGGGTACATTCTATCAGTTTTGTCCCAGGGCCAAGTCCCATGTATTCAGATCCTT